GTTTTGATAATGGTCTTGCAAAATGAAGCGGTGTTGAAAGCATGTGCAGAACCACCACCTCCAAAACCTTGAGTTGCTGTATTTCAAAACCAAAATATAGAGCCGCAAACATACAAACCGAAATCATACAAATCCGAAATCAAAATACATAGAAATACATAAATACCAAAATACAGAGATTCGAAAACTTATTTCAAAATCAAAACCGAAATCATACAAACCCATTTCAAAATCAAAACCAAAATCATTCAAACCCATTTCAAAATCAAAATTAAAACTGAACCAACTACGAATTTAATATATTTCTACCATACATATATTTTACTGAGTAGTCATTAAGTATAAATATTTTACTGAGGATATATGAAAACTAAGTGTATGTTATATAAAAATTTCATCAAAGAATTTCATCCCCTATTGAACTAAATTTGAACTAAAATATACTGAGTATGTGGTTCATATAATAAGGGAAGAAATATCAGTTATGTGGGTTAAGTTAAAAGGTGGTTTTTTTTTTCTTTTTATTATAGATTTAGTATACAATAACTTTAGTTTCTGTTAGGGTTTACAATTTTTTTTTACTTGCTCTTATATTTTGATTTGCAGTATTGGTAAACATTAAAAATCTTATATGTTTATTTCTTAATTTGCGTTAACATTAGGGAGAGTTGTTATTTATTTGAGTTTTTGTAGAGCATGTAATGCAAGCAAAAATGTTACAAGTTATTTAAGAAAAAAAATTTTAATATATTTAATCTTAAAATTATTTACATCGTGCCTTCTGTCAATTTGATTAAACATTGAGCAGAATTATTGTGAACCAAATTTTCTCATAACTATTAAACATTGAGGAAATGTGTCTCTAATCACCAAATTTCTCAATTTTAATCAGAATTATTGTCAATTTTTTTAATCAAAAAAAAAACATTAAACAGAAATTGGTTTGCTGTTTAAAAAAAAAAAAGGTTATACACATTGTGTTTACTGTCAACTGTGTATAATAGTTGGTCTGTCAATTATTGCCAATTATTTGAACTATGAACCAGAAATTATTTGAACTAAATTTCATCAAAGAATTTTAAAAAACATTATGTGAACCAAATTCTATCAATTTTTGATTAAACATTAACCAAAATTATTGTGAACCAAATTTCTCTCAGAACTATTAAACATTGAGGAAATGTCTCTCATCACCAAATTTCTGTCAATTTTTAATCAGAATTATTGCCAATTTTTTTAATAAAAAAAACATTAAGCAGAAATTTTTTTTCATCAAAGAATTACTGTCAATTATTTGAACTATTAAGCACAAATTTGGTCCTTACACATAAGGTTGGTCTCAAAATATTTTGGCTATTATATCACAGGAAAAACGTAATAGATCCAAAATTTTCACTAAATCAAGGATGAACAAAAATTTTTTACCAAATCTCCAATAATAATACTTTTAATCTTTTTTGATAAAATTTTAAAATAGAGTATGGATAGGAGATGGTTTTCTTTCAAAAAAATAGTATGGATAGGAGATGGTTTTTAGGATAAGTTTGGAATTTTTTTGAAAAGATTTGAAGATGCGAAGAGAGAAGGATTGGAGTATTTGTATAATAAGAATATAAAAGAAAGAGAGAGAGAGAGAGAGAGAGAGAGAGAGAGAGTAAGTTAAGTAATTTACTAATCATAACCATCATGGTTTGGTTGTCCTGACTCCTTTACTTAGTGAGGCATAGTCGGGTTGCTTCATCGTAGTTATGTGATGATATCTTTGATGTAATATGGCTTCTATTCTCCTTTTTATTTATTTATTCTTTCCAAAATAAAAACCTAGGCTTAGGCGCCCATAGGATTGTTTGACAAAAAGGCATTATTCATTTCTATTCACTTACTAAACCATCAAGCACATCACTAATCACTGGAATGCTCAGTTGAAGAACTCTACATGCTCAATTTTTATTTTTCAAAAATAGATGCAATCAACCACGATTTAGTCACCCTTTTAATGAAAGAACATTTCATTTAGTGGGTCACACATGTATGCAAGATATAGAGAGAGAAATCACTACGATATACCTTTTACACAAAAATTGTACCATTCAAACGTAGAATATTTGTTGTGTGATTCAAAAAAAAAAGGAGCTGTTTTTTTCATTTTTTTTTTTTAGAATATCTACAGTTCCTAATTAAAAGAAAAATTTGAAAGACTTGGCATTTCAAACATTTATGTGTAATATGGCAAGAAGAGTTTATGTTTTTTTTTTTTTTTGTACAGATGATAAATATTTTTATCAATTTTTTTATAAATATTTTAGTTCTCTGTGTTGTATAGATGATAAATATTTTTCATAATTTTTTTTTAATATCTAGAATTCCTAATTAAAAGAAAAATTTCAAAGACTTGGCATTTTAACATTTATGTGTAATATGGCAAGAGAGTTTATGTTTTCTTTTTTTCTTTTTTGGCACCTTTTAAAGGAGTATAGTATTCTATGTTGTATTTCAAAAAAATCTGGTGAATGTATATATGTGTATATTACTTTAGTTGTCTTCATGAAAAAAAATGTATTAAACTTACAAGTATTTAACTTAACCCAACTATTTAACATAATTTTTGCTTTGAATCAAATTCACCAAGTATTTAACTTAACCCACAAAAATGTATTCAACATTTTATTATAAAAAAATAAAATAAAAATTGTACCATTCAAATGTAATATATGTTGTGTGTGATTCTAAAAAGAAATGGACTGTTTTTTTTCAATTTTTCATTTTTTTTGAATATCTAGAGTTCCTAATTGAAAGAAAAATTTGAAACACTTGGCATTTTAACATTTCTGTGTAATATGGCAAGAGAGTTTATGTTTTTTTTTTTTTTTTTTTTTTTTTGAGGGAGTATAGTATTCTATGTTGTATTTCAAAAATTCTGGTCAATGTATATATGTGTGTATTACTTTAGCTGTCTTCATGAAAAAAAAAAATGTATTAAACTTACAAGTATTTAACTTAACACAAGTATTTAACATAATCCGTTATAAATATCCTACAAGTATTTAACTTCACCAAGTATTTAAGTTAACCCAAAAAAATGTATTTAACATTTTGTTATAAAAAAAAATTTGTACCATTCAAATGTAGTATATTTTGTTTGTGATTCTAAAAAGAAAGTGATTGTTTTTTTCATTTAAATTTTTTTTTTTTTTTGAAAGACTTGGCATTTTAACATTTATGTGTAATATGGCAAGAGGTTTATGTTCCTTTTTGTTTTCCACATTTTTAAGGGAGTATAATATTCTATGTTGCATTTCAAAAATTCAGGTCAATGCATATGTTGTATTACTTTAGTTGCTTGATGAAATAATTATTCATTATTGCTTATAAAATGGCTTTCTTATGTGGTGAATTTTTTTTTTTGGCATAAATTTATGTTTGGACTTTCCAAGTCATAAATGGTGAAC